CGTCCACGCGTCCAATAAAACCAAAATAAAGACAAGGCGCCGCGCATGCGCGCAAGGCTCTACGCAACGCAAACCGGAAGACTCGTGAACGCCTTTACGCGGAAGGCAGATTTCTATGCCGTGACAAGCGAAAAACTCAAGTGAAATACTATGTAAACTTAATGTTGAACGCGATGTTATTTTTTAAATCCGTCACATGGTATTCACGGAAGAGAGTTGAATGTAGATAAATTATCTAGTTCAGACACAAATGTCTGACTCTAAACGCTGTTGCCAGCTTAATACTGTTAATGTCAAATATGTCTGTAAGAAATTTATGACATATTTTTTGTGGTATCAAAAGACGAGACGAACAAGTCGTGCACCTACGATATATCCACGACAGTTGCTGTGCCACTCGTAATTGGACGTAGTATCCAATGCACATCCAGACACTTTCGAGATATGGCAGTTTGAAGTTTAAAAATGTTTCTCACTCTTGTTTTATTTACAAAACTTATAATGTCATGTAACTTCAGATATATTTATTTATGTTTATATGTTGGATTGTTTTGCTGATCGAAGAGATTAGACTTTAGGAACCGGTTGGTACATATAACTCATTTTTTGATAATTTTGTGGATTGGATCCTTTTTGCTTAACTACGTCCAATTTTAAATTACAAAGATCTGAGTTGCATTGCCACTGCAGCCACCACCCTTAGGCATAAATTGACACATCTTCGTTACATAATCTGTTGGCTCAATAAATATCGGAACTAAAGTGCACGTCGCTTCACTAAAATTAAAAAATAAAAGAGTCCAGGAAGCATTTTTTGTCTATATGGTTGTATATGAATAATGACGGAACTTCAGAGGCATGCATGTCTCAAAAGTTAAACAAATGGTTGAACGGTATTTACGATAGAGCCTTCGTTTGTTTAGAGCGATCTATTTAAATATTTTTATTTATGTAAGAAAATAACATCTGATGAATTATTAAAAGTTATGGACCAAAAGTCATTATTTATGATGCTAGCAACATAGTCTTGCCAGGTTCTTAATATTCACAAATAACACTGTACACAAAAAGTCCATTATAAGGCTTGGGCAAATTTCGAAATTGTTAATCAGTCACATAAACATAAAATTTTTTAAACAGGTACAGAACTAACAATGTTCAAGCAGTAAATTAAAATTTTATTAACATTAACGTTAGCCAATCGAAAATATTTATTGCCAACACACATATATTTGCAAAATTCTGCATAACCATATTTCAATTACGCACCCATCTAACTCGGCCATTAATTAATATTAAAATTGGTTGAAATGTTATTTCTATCATTATTAAAAACTTAATTCGTTGACCTGCGAATCATTAAAAGATTATTCACATTCTATTTTAGTAATACACGCGCTTGCACATTTAGTGGAACAAAATAGTGAGAATATAAAATAGTTATGTTTCTATTTAAATAAATAATAACAGTACGATTCAGTACATCATTACTTAACCCTTATTGAAAAACATCGAAACTTAACAAAATGTATTTTTGTTACATTTTGTGGAAAGTAAAAATAATTAAAATTTAGGAAACCTACAGTTTAACATTAATGAACGCGCGCCACTTTTGCAGATTCGATATTGTATGAAAATTAGTAGAGGCGCGGATGCCGCGCCACAGAAGCGTCACTACACTTCTAATTTGATGGAGCCCTAAAACAAATTAAAGTAAAAATTAGTCAGTCGAATATTTTTTTAATTTCAAATAAGAACTAAAACAAAAAAATCGTCCAGAGTTTTGAAATAACATTACATTTTTAGGGATTTTACCAGTGTTCCGCTAAATGTGCATGTATTTGTATTTTGTTCGTAATAAAAATATAACTGCTTTGTAGGTTTTTCACCTAATGTTTCACACAAGCGGTGCATTGAATGTTCCAACAACCAAAAGAATTACTTTATGTTCACTCAAAAGAAGAGAGGTGTCAAACTAAAGAAATACTATTGATCGCTCAGAACACATCTTTCATTTCTTTTGTTTTGATGGAACACGGTTGTAATGTTTGGACAAAATAATACAAATATTCTTGCCATTTTTTCCATCTTCTTCTAATAACGTCGAAATCTATTTCTGTTACTGGCTTGTCGCGTTAGTCATTCCTTTGTATTCCAAATGTATAATCATTTCATATTTTACAAAAAGTTGCCAGTACCATTAATTATTACTAGTAATACTGATTTTAAAGGAACAACTATCTCTAAACCAAACAAACATGTATCATACTATAATAAGTAGTCCAACTGCCGCTTGTTCAGCGTGTCAATGCCCTATGTCGCTCGGAAATTAGGGTTGTCACATTATCAACCTAACCTACAAGTGTATCATCATCATAAACCAATTTATACATCCCACTGCTGTAATTAGCGCTCTTCGTAAATTGATAAGTATATGTACGAAATAGGAAGAAGCTCATGGATTGCAGTACAACGCGACTAAGAGCGAACTAATGGTTTTTAAAGCGGGAAGCAAAATAAAAATGTCCCAGATGCTATATTAGGTGACACTCCACTTAAACGAGTCACTGTATTTAAATATCTGGGGCAATGGGTCTCCGAATCTTTAAAAAATTATTTAGAGTTAGGATGGGAGCGTAGGGCGTTGGCAGTAAGAGGCAACATATTGGCCCGTAGGTTCGCGAGGTGTAGTGACGATGTAAATATTGTTCTATTCAAGGCATATTGCCAGTCTTTATATACTTGCAGCCTCTGGGTCAACTATACTTTAAAATCTCTTGGCGCTCTACGAATTTTGTACAATAACATATTCAGGACGTTATTGAAGCTGCCACGATTTTGCAGTGAATGTTCGCCATAGGTAAGGTCGATGGCTTTGCAGCTATCATGCGAAAAAGAGCGGCTTCCCTTGTGCATAGAGTTCGTAGCAGCGATAACAGCCTCCTGAGTATAATATCAAACAGGGTTCAGGGTTCTTTTCATGAGCACTGGTCCCGATTGCATATTAGTTTTAGAAAAAAATGTTATTTGTAGTACTAACTCTATTTATAAGTGCTTTGTTACTAACCTCTATGGATGAATATTCAACTAAAGATATTTGAATTTGAACTGCTGAACACAAGTCTCATAGTCCACCACGTTGACCCAATGTGGGTTGGGTTGGGGAACTTAAAAGTTGTAAACGGAAATTGAAAAAATTAAGGTGTTCAGCACAGTATTTTCATGCTATATTGAAATAATCTCTGTCGAATACAGTACTTACATATTGATATTTCGATACCAGAATCGCGTACTAGTACTTGGTACTTGGTGCAACGGGCTGGTGTGCGCCTATTTTGCGTGTACTAGTATCTCAAATATGGGAGTATTATGAAATTTAAATACCGAGTGAATGCCTTAATTCTATAATAAATGGCGCGTGCGACAACACACGCTGTGCAATTCGAGTAAACTGCGAGATTATGCGAATAAATGCGTCCATACACGGTGCGCGGCGGGCGTGCACACATACAAGTCGCGCTGCTACATTTATATGGAATTACACTACTTGTCTTATTGTACTATGCATGTACCTTTACCATGCTGTAATAACAGCGTACCAGTTATCAGACAGTGAACTAAATCATTTCTACCTTCATTTGTAACATTGCACAAACACATAGACCTTCACGTTGCGCCCTGAGTAATAGTACAAAATCACAGTTCACCATTTCCAATTACCTATAGGTATGTGTGTGCATGTCTTCAAAATGTTACGACGACTGAGATAATAAAATTAGAAATGTTGGAGAAACGAATGCGAGATGATATTTCAAAACAAAACATTATGTAAAAAAGGTGGTAAGATATATATTAACCCTTAACTATATTCGTGGAAAAAATAACGCTTCTATAGTCGTGGGTTTAATGGACCAATGTATTTTGGAATGGTGATAAAATATAAGATATATATATATATATTATATATATATATATATATATATATATATATATATATTATATATATTATTTTTTTAATATTTTTTATTCACACTATTATTTTAACCTTAACAAATGCAGTGTTGCATAAATTAACTGTAGGAACATTCATATCAATATCTATTTATGTCAGTCGTAATTTTCTTAGTTAGTAGTTAGTTAACCTAAAATCAGGTTAACTAAAAACAGTCAATAAAAAATTAAATATTGGTCAAAATCCAAAAACAAAACTTTTTTCTTACATTTCAAAATATATAGTTTTACATGTTTACAAAAATAAAAGTATCTCCTTGTGAAAAAACTACGCAATTTATTCTAATTATGAACATGAACAGCACAGTTTTTGCATATGCCGTGTAAATAGATGTAAGGTTCACATAAAGATCATTTCAACTTTATTTTCATTAGGATTTTCGCTATCAGATATTTCAGAACGTTTCATGATCACTAATTCTAATAAAATCCTCGTCATTATTTGAAAACTCTTTATCAGAATTTGAAGCCACAGTATTGCGTGCAGTTATAGAATTTTCGTCGATTTTTCGCTCATCGCTGTCTAAATCAGCGTTATCTTCTTGAATTACTAAGACACTTTTTCAATTCGCCATGACTAGAAACTAAAATAAAAAACAAAAATAGATAAAATATGTCACACAAAAAGCTTACGTATCTATAGTCCTGAATCCATTGGACCCACATGTAAACCATTACTTACATTTGGAGCAGCGAGCAAAACACGTCCATCTCACAGTGCGCGCTTCGGCGTACCATCGGAAGGCATTGAGGAGTGGAAAGAGCTGCGTCGCCTGCAGCTATTCCTACGCGAGTTTAAAAAATGAACCTGGTTCCATTGGACCCACGACTATACTTAGGGGTTAAAGATAAAGGCGAAATGTCGGATCAATGTGTTCCGTGTGTCCAGGTATATCGTGAAACTCATGTTTTTGCGACCTGCGCTGGTGGAAGTAAATATAACACAGAAATGTATTACAGTAAGAAAATTAATACAATGACCAGTGGAGTGTATAATGGTAATATATTAAAGATGTTACTCTTGTACACGACTCTGGCAATCAGAAAAAATAAATAACTAAGCACGTTCATTTAACATTACACATTAACTAAGACGATTATTATAATATAATGCGCAAATTGAAGGTTTTCTACTATAACAACGTTCGCACTGTCCATTAACTGTGACGTAATTTACTTCTGCTAGTTCAGGTTGCAGCGGTTTGGATATTAAGTTTTTGATTCTGTCGACACTGGCTGCAGGCACCGGAAGGCGCAAGCAGCGGTCCCGCTCTGTTCTGTATCTTTCAAAATTTTGCGCGTACTTTATGTTGCGCTGCAGTGCCTCCAGACTTTCCGTTTGAGCCGGAAGTCTCTCCAGACCAGTACTAATTTCACCCATGTCTGCGATGTCAGTATCAACTATCTCGTGACTATCCAATAACATACCGAGATTAAGCTTCAAATTAGTCGTTCCATCTCTAAATAGTAGATAAATGGACGCTTGATCTAATATTCTGATAGAAAAATTTTCGTTGATTTTTAATGCTTTCATTTTTATTTGAAATGGACTAAACTTTTCGCTGATTTTTTGAGATTTCTCTTTTATAGCATTCTCGAACTCAATAGCGACCATATCTTTATTATTGTCTTGTAGTCCTGCAGATACTTCATTGCCAAGTCGCGCTATTCTAGGATCTTTGTGATGCATTTGCGTGTCTATCATAACTTGCTGCAATACTGGGGGGTCGTTCAAGCTATGCCACTTCCAATGTGATGCGGGGCCTATTTGTTGATCTAATAAAACTCCTTCACTTTGATTGTATTTCAATCTGGAAGTATAAAATATGCTCAATACATATAAGATGTTGATCAAATAAAAAATGCCGAATTGATGTGTGAAATTCCGTTTCGTTTAAGGTTACCATGGCGAACTAGGAGCCATGTGATCATGTCTGCCCAACCATCTGTCTATAATTCATACCATATTTAATCTTTTTTTTTTGTTTGTTATCGTGAAATTCAGCGTGAAACCGTATATTAGCGACTCATATACAGAAATGGAAAACGACGAAGAAATATCGCTATCAAAATTGTTTTCAGGGTGTTCCTTTTGCTTATGCCTACAAATTGCAACAAGTCTAAAAAAAATGAAAACATAGTTTTTAGTTTATTAAAATTAAAAAAAATGTAGACACGACACAAAAAATCTATATAGCAAATTACACATTTAAAAAAAATTAATAACACTTAGAAAAAATTCCTTCGATTCGGCTGGATTCAAACCAACGCCCTCTAGCAAACCGTGCCCGACGATATGCCAAGCCACGGAACGAACCAGCGGACCTTACGAATTTTTGTAAGTTGTTGTAGATCTTTATTTTTTGTTTATTAACAACTTTTTTGCCGTAGCGCTATCTGTGAGAAATATAGCGCCACCTATTGATCGATCAGAATTTTCTAGAACATGGGAAAATTTATTTTGGTTGAAATGGAGGTTAAAATAAAAATAATAAGCGTA